TCTTGCGTCTCAGCCAGGTCAATCCATCTTCATCTCCGATTCCGGCTCCGTTTCCGGCTAAGTCGAAGAGGGCAGGTTCACCGCTTGAGTGGTCTGTGCGTCGGAGCAGGTCTAAACCAGTTTCTGTTAATGCTAAGAAGGCGGCTCCACGTGCTAGTCCTACTACTCCTTTGTCATGGAGTGGCGCCACATCTGTTAGTTGTGGAGGTGGCGGAGGTAGTGGTGGCGCCGTTGATGGTGGCTGTGAAGAGTCTAGCGGATCTCCTCATCCGCTATACAAAACTCCAAGCAGCACGAGATCTAAGGTTTGGATGTTTGTTCTTCTTCTTCTTCTTCTCTCTCTCTCACTCGATGTGCGTGCTTTTCGTGTACGATTATTGGTTTGTCCATCGTGTGTATCGTTTACAGTGAACGGCGGATTCTGTGTTAATTTATCTGGTGTGTGGTGGTTATGGCGAGTTGTTAATTCGTTGACGTGAGCCTCTTCATTTGAGTCGCGTGTGTCATTCGATTCGTTCCTCGTGACTCTTTCAGAAATTAGGATTTTATTTTATTTTTAGTTTCAAAAGCGTCCATTGGAAGCAAATAGATATAGCAGTGGTTTTCATTGGTTTCATCACCTGTCTCTGTTTTTTCAGTTAATAAAATAACAAACTCACTTATCGGATTAGCTTCAGTTCCGTAGGTCTCCGGTGAGTAAACGGCGGTCGTCGTTGGTGGCTCCGTTTTATTCTCCGCGTGTTCCAAAGTACCCCTTACCATATATAAATCTCCGGACTTTCCAATTTCCCCATATTCCAAATTAATGTTAACTTATCTTTATTAAAGTTACTATTAAATGAATATTTACAAGGATGAGAAAGTGGTGAACTTTACTTTCAACGTATGTTGTCAGACGCACAAGATTGAATGACTCTTCACGTTTTTCTCTCACCACCCGAATCTCCCCATTATTTTGGTGGCGTCTCCGTGTCACACTTTCTACTTCCAAATTACCCAAACACCCTTTAATTTCGTGATAATATTTTGAAGATAAAATTTTAAAATCTGATTCGAAGTTTATGTCCTTAACCCTATCTTAAGGGCAATTGAGTCAATTTGGCCGACCTGATGAAGTGACTAATAAAATGTCTCCAGTATTTGTCGGGGTCGGTTCACTTTTGAACCATTGGATTTGGTACTGAATTGCAAAATAAGCCAACTCCTCCATTAGTCAAACCCCTTTTTGTCCTCACTTTTTAGTCTATCTACTTACTTTTTTGTGTGTCTTTAGCTATAATTTGTTGGGGCATTTACGTCAATTTAAATATTTTAGTTTGAAATTTTGATAATGAGTAAAGACTAAAGAGGATGGCGTGTGTTCGTGGCAAATAGGTCTGCGTTCAGTTTGGTGGTAGTGTTTGTTAGTGGTTAAGCAGTTTGGTGGAGTAAAATTTTTTTTTTTCCTTTTTGTAAACGTGGAAAATTGAGAGGAATTATAAAGTGTGGTAGGATGTAGAGATAGCTTAAACTGTGGGTTCAGAGTCAGAATCTTGAATTTAAGCTTTGTCGTTTTATTCATACCCACAATCTAAACGACATTTGGTTGACAGCAAATGAAAAGGAATATTTTGGGGCACCCCACAACCGTACGTAGTCAAATATCAGTGATTGTTAGAAATTTAGAATATGTGCAGCTTCTATACACCTTTTTTTTTCCGTACTCAGTAACAAAATTACTTCAGATTCTGTCACGGTCAAAAAAGTTGGGACTATCATGGAATTAGTCAAGTTGCACGAAAGCTGGTCTGAAAATCACCGTAAAAAATAAATAATAAAAAACAGTGTAATACCTAATGCTTGGCAGCTTCTTGTTGTTAGTACTCCTCGGCGAGCTAATCAAGAAGTGGCAGCTGTATAAGTGAAAGTGTTTAGTCAAAGAAGTGTTTTTTAAATGGAGGGGTTTAGCAGAATTGCATGTGTTAAAAAGGTGTCCTAGGGGTTATTATCTACGACAAAATAGGTGTATTGTTGTTAAAGGAAACTTCATTTTATATCTGTCTCTGGCTTATAACAAGTTTTGCTGTCCCTACTTCTCTTACTTGTCTAAGAAAATTGTCGACCATATAACTTTCTTTGGTGTTTGGATAAGGAGGACATGTTGGTCGCAGATTGTGTCCCATATATTTTTTTGCTTACATTGTGATTAATGTTTTGAACACACTGTAGTGTGTTAAATATGTATGCAGATATATCGACATGCCTTTAATATATACTCTCTCTTTGCAATGAATTATTATACACTATTTTCTTGAAAGCGAGCGCGCTTTTGATTGGACTTATCATTTACCTGCAGACTTTGCTGGACTCTCAGGTTAATGGTACTAGTGATGCTACCACCAGCAAAAGGTCAAGAAAGAAAAAGGTTTGTTTTTACCCTCCATTAAGTTATATATAGCACATTTTGCTTTTAGGAATTGAGATAGAATAATTCATCTTAAGTGTAACATTTGTAAATGCAAAGAAGTTTGTAGTTTGAAGGAAGACCCATTGCTTCATCACTTTACTTTGATTTTTTACTAAGTGCGTGACCCTGCGACGTAAAATGTTCTATTTTCATTATTCCAGGACTACTAAGTCACTTATTCATTTTTCCTTTTTATCCCGTCTGTGATGAGCAGACATTGGCTGAGCTGAAAATGGATGAGATCTTGCTAATTAAGGAAAGAAAGCAATTGAAGAAGGTATTCTTCTTGGCTATTGTGAGTAGTTATACTTATAGTTTGATTGTATTATAAGTTCCTCAATTAACACCACTCTTTATGCAGGAAGTGGCTTTACTACGCGCTAGTGTGGAGAATCAGAGGGATACAAATCAAAAACTGAAAAGAATGAAGGTAATATGGTTATCTATTTGGCTGGCTGGTCTATTTTATACTGTATGATACCTGTTGCTTTTTTTCTTTTTTAATCATAGGCAACCTTAATATTCTTGCACAACTGTCTTGTAGACTGATTTTATCTTTGCTAGTGAATCAAGATCACTTAATGGTTAGCGCGAATGATTAACATGTGGATGTATTTTCTTGATGAATTCCCTAAGTAGTTTTTCAACCCTCACCAAGAACATAAGACTGCCACTTGAAACTAAGAATAAGCAAGCTTTACCTACTTTTTCTCCACTACAGATCAAGAAAGAACGGAGGTATAGAAACTGTATACTAACTTAATGTCCTTTTCTCCAGCTTGATGTGCTCCCTCAGCAGGCAAATGAAAGAGGTACAACTGTTGCATATGATGGGAGTTCAGGTCAGTATCAGCAAGAGGTTCTACCAAGCTATCCAGTCATTCCCATCTTACTGGAAAAAGTTGCAAACAAGGTTGCAGTATTGCCATCATCTCTGGAAAAGCAGCAAGATGTCACAGCTTTGGAGTCCAAATTTGTACTCCCAGACCTCAATATTCCATTTGGCGAGGATTCTGGCTCTGACACTCTGGGGGTGAACTGAAATACTTCTGCATAACAAGGGATCCTCCAACACAGAAAGACTAGTATAAACTAGTAAGGGCTAACCCTGTTATAGGATGAATTATGGATTCAGTAGTAAGTAAGGACTTTCTTTCCTTCACCACTTGTCGCACAGAAGCTGCCAAAGTGGATTTTTAGTCATGAAGGTACTGAGGGTAGTTAGAATCTGTGATATTTCTTTGAGAAGATGTCAACCATAGGTTAGAGATCCTAACTTACTAGTTGCAGTAGACATTTTTTTTTTCTGACAGGTTTCTTCAGTGTCCAATTCTTTGGGGCCAACCCTCATTCCTTCATAGTTTCTCTCTGGAAATATCTACAGATAAAGATGTAACTATTTTATATATCAGTTGATCACATTACTTGAATACCATAACTTTCTTTTCTCAATTGATGCATACTTGCATTACATTATTTGACTGCATATATTTTCAGACCATGCAGACATCTTTATATCAAGCCAACTGAGGCTTATTTTTGAAAATAATGACTTGAGCATGAAGGTGAAGGATGTGTTTATCTACACGATCAATATCAAGTCGCTCCAAGTTTGTTCTGAAGCTTGGTGGAACTTTTTAAAAAAGTTGATAGCATGTTATCTTTATATTCTGTTTTGTATTATAAAAATAAATTTGGAATTCTTAACTACATGACAGATGAAAAAGAAGATGGAAAATGGTTGAAATCATTAGCTTGATGAAACTAGACATCCATTGTGCAAGGAAAATCCCCTCAAGCCTTATAAAGATCATTACAACTGGGAGGAGAAACTCGCTTCAGTGATGAAGACGAAAGCACTATACGAAGAGGCAGAGACTTGATGACATCTCTTCAAGTTTATCTCTCTCAATGCCCGAAGATTAGGCAGTTCAGCGCCTATTCGTATATGTCTAATCAATGAACAACCACAAAAATCCAAGTTCCTAATATGATAGCACACCTCAAAAGCAGAAGCAATTCACGCCTCTGTAACCCTGCTACTGTACATATCAAGAGTCTCCATGTTGGGGCACATTAAAGCAGCTTTTGTGAGAGAGTCATCATTCAGGTACGATGCAAATTTCAAACTAACAGTCTTGATTCTTCACACCATTATGAAAATAATCTTTCTCCCCCAAATCAGTATCATTAAGATCTATCATCTCGCAACCAATAATATGGTCCAATTTAACTGTTTCTAATGAAGGACAATCTCTTGCAAGCGTGAAGAAGGTGGAAATGGTCAAATTCAATACAATAGCTGAGATTAATGGTAACAAGAGATTGGGATAAATCATTCATAGACTCATCAGTCAATAAATTTACATCAATCAGATATAAGCTCTTTAAGTGTCTGATATGCATACAGAAACAAAGAGATACTGACATTTCCACACCTACAAAGCGAAAAACCTCTGCAGAGGGAGAGAAGTTTTGGCCACCAAGAAAAGGAATTCATCCGAAATAGTGAAAGTCAGAAACTTTAAGTTTCCAATAAACTTCCATACATGGTTCAGAAACTTCCAGTGTCTTTAAAGCATCCAATGTTTGGAATATTGGACACTGAAATCGAACTCAAAGCAGCACAAGCACGCTCTATAGAAAAGATCCCTTTCAAAGTATCTTCCGCCCTAATGCATTGTAAATTCAAACAATTCCTATACAGAGCAACCACTGACCGATCACTAATCCCTGAATTCCCAGAAACATTAATCTTACTCAAATTAACAGATAAAACCTCAATCCCAGAATCAGTCACAAACAATTCGTGACGATTTAGAAAACTAGGGTTTCTTGGATACCTAATGTCTAGCTCTTCCAAAAACTGAAACGACTCTGCTATAACATACAAACAAGAGTCTCTAATTGATGTGAGATTTCTGCATTTCAAACCCTTTAATTTACGCCCCAATTCCTTCAACCCCTCTATGGGTAAAAAACTGTGTTTAGACAAGTCAAGTCGTACTAGATTGGGTACATACTTGGCAATATCAAAGAGAATAAGCTCAAGATCACCATCGAAATTGCTAATATCAATGGAATTAAGATGAGGAAATCGGTGAATGAGTTTAGATAATGTACCGTGATGTATTACAGACAAATGGAGTAGTAGACGATTGAATATTAGTTCCCAACATTCTTCAGGAAAATATTTGCACTCTTTCGCCGTTGCTCTTTGCCTCCGGTGTCCGGTGATCATATTGGAGCCAAGATTAAATTCAATAGAGAAAAAGCTAATATATTAGAACATATTACTATACTTTTTTTTTTGTCTATTTTTAATTGTTATCTTTTTTTTAGAGTCAAACGATAAGAGCTTTGATTAATATTTTATGATTTTTTATCATATTGATATGCAAAAAATTGCAATCTATAATTTCTTTCGTATAATTTTGAAATATCTAATTTTTTGTTTAAAATATCGAATTGATATAATCTAATTTCACTTTGAAAATTAGTCAAATCGACTTTCGAAAAATGCAACATGACAATTAAAAGTAAACGAGTATTTAGTTATAATGTTTTGTTCTTTAAAAATGAGGCGAGGCGAGGCAAGAATATAATTGGCACGTGAAAGCACTTGAACAAAGTAAGTGTGGAGTGATAGGGAGTAAATTTGTTATTTGAAGAGTAGTTTTTATCCATGTATAATAATGTCTGCATGATTATTCAATCTTTTATTTAGCGTAAAATAATACATAAATTGATTCGTTATTTGTAAATGTTTCCTGAATCGTTATTCAATCTTTTGTTTCACATAAAATAATACATGAAGCTTTAAAGACGTTTAGCTGTCGCTTCTTCTTCTCCTTCTCCGCTTCCTCAAACTTTAAGATAATTTGTCGTACGAGTTCAATTCTTCAGTTAAGACGCTTGAATTTTCCTATTTAAGACATCAAGACACTGTCTTTAGTTCAGTTTTTTCAGTTCAAAAATTCAAGATAGCGCGTCTTAAGTTCCAACTTTTTGTGATCAAATCAAGGATATTGTGTCTTAAGTTCAAAATTTTCAAGTACACAACTTCGTGGCACAATGTCTTTAATTTTTTCAATTCAAGCTTTAGAGTTTGAGCTTTAGTGACCTGAAGTTTAGACAGTTCAAACTTCAGAGACAATCTGTCATGTGTCCCCAAGATCGATTTATGTAGACAAAACTTTCATGCTTATGTCTGAAGTTCAATATTATGGTTCCACTTTCACGCCATTAGAGAAGAAGAAAGAATAAGGAAAATAAGAAATGAGCGCAACAGTAGTGACTATTTTAATTAAAATTATGCATATGTGATATGTTCATATCAGTGGCCAGCCAAGAACTAACGGAATTGATTTGTTTCAGTCCATTTCAAATTTAAATACTATTTGATCCGGTCAATAATTTTTTCTTACATATTCCACAATGTCATTCGGTCTTAAATTTAATGCCAAGTAACAATTGATTTACTTCTAACTGTGTACAAAAGAATATTAACAAAACAATGGTTTTATATATACCAAGATAAAACCATTGATCAATGACAGTAGGATCAGGAGTATTTGAAGCAGTGAGAGGGGAGAGGAAAGAGCCATCAACGTAAGGGCATTAATAAACACACACTTGTTACCAATCTTTCGATGTTTAACATAAGTAGAAACACTGGAAGAGGCAAGGAGTAGGGAGGAAGAAGAAGATGGAGAAAGAATTGGATTGAGCAACGAATCAAAAATGGCAGAAGCTAGAAACTAAATTGGATTTTTGAAGAGAAAGAAAAAGTTGGCAGAATGAATAAGGTTATGGGTTTGTAGCCAGTTTACAGTAAAATGGCGAAGGTGAATTATAAAGAACTTATTTACACATGCTTGTATCAAATCATATCTAATCTTATAATTATACAACGATATTTGGAAACCATATCTAATCCCAGAAATAATCTGAAGAATCAAAACTTAATCATAAAAGTATACTCTATAAATAAGAACATCCAACATGATGTTGCTCCTCTGTTTCCACCTACAGTGGTTCAACTTTCAACTAATACAGGAGAACTCAACATCTGGTTAATAAGAACGAGAAAAACTGGAAAATGCAGGATGAGTAAGGGAGGGGGGTATGATTGCAGCGTGCAGCTGTAAAACAAATGTGAACAGATAATGGCAGACTGCAGAGACTAAATAAATTTTCATCAAAATTTACAACAGATAAGAAAAACTGGACTAGTTCTATGACACGATTGACACAGTCTAAATGTTTGAAATCAAAGGGACACAATGTATAATATGTGCTACATACACCAGACAAAAACTAGCCTGAGTACACTCGACATCCATGGTGCAAGTAAAATCCCCTCAAGCTATCAGTAAAAGCAGAGCAACAGGGCGGAATAACTCTCCTTAGCGATGAAGACGAAAACACCAAATTATTCAGAGAATTGATACTAACTTGAGGACACTTCTTCAAGTTTATCTCTCTCAATGATCTACAATTCTTCACCATTGCATGTAAGCCCTCTGCTGTCACTCCTTTACAGTTCTCCAAGTTTAATTTCAGCAGTCGAGAACATCTGCTTCCGATCATGACCAGACCTTCATCATTTAATGCTGAACCAGCTGCACTTATTACCTCAAGACTAGGCAATTCTGCACCTTTTCCAATATGTTTAATCCCTGAACAGTTATCAAGTTGCAAATCCCTTATCTGATTACACACCTCGAGAACACCAATAATACTTGCCTCTGTAAGGCTAGTACATGATATCACATCAAGAAAGTCCATGTTGGGGCACATCAAAGCAACATTCATGAGAGAGTCATCATCTAGGTAATGGTTAGTTGCCAAATTAACAGACCTGATTCTCGGGTTCTTTACATCATCATGAAAACAATGCTTCGTCCCAAAACCAGTATTTTCCATATAAATTTCCTTTAGTGAAGGACAGTTTCTTGCAAGTGCGTAGAACGTCAAATTGGTCAATCTCATACAACCACTGAGATCAATGGTAACAAGACATCGTAGATATTGGGATAAATCATCCATACTCTCATCAGTCAAAAAATCTACTTGAACCAATGATAAGTACTTCAGAGACTGGTATGCACACAACAACTTAGAGATACCAGAATATGTGAAATCTGTACACCAACAAAGTGTAAGTGTATTTAGAGGGAGAGAAGCATTGGCCACCATGAAGAGGAATTCATCCGTGATAATTGAATTGGAAACCTCTAGTTTCTGTAAAGTTCGGCTAGAAGTAGCCAAACATTCAAAACCAGAACTTGATTGAGCAATGTGAATCTCAGACACTGAAATCCAACTCAAAGCAGCACAAGTACGCAGTATAGAAAGGATCCCTTTTAAGGTAATAAAAGGGCAATCATCCATCTCAAGGCCTTCCAAATTCAAACAATTCATAGAAAGCGCAACAAGCGACCTATCAGTAATCAAATGATTCCCAGAAACATTGATCTTACGCAAATTACTCATATTCACAGACAAAACCTCAACCCCAGAATCAGTCACAGCCAAATTACTAGCCTCTGATGCAATATACACAGAATCCAAAACATAATCTGTACTCGGATAGCTAATGTCCAACTCTTCCAAAAACGGAAACAACTCAGCAATAACATACAAATCAGAATCACGAAAAAGAGTTAGATTGCTACATGTCAAAACCCTCAAACCCTTTAATTTCCGCCCTAATTCCTTCAAACCCTTAAACGGTAATTTCTTATGATTCGAGATATCAAGTTGTTCGAGATTGGATGTATACGAAACGGAATTAGCAAGATCAACAAGCACAGGATCAAGGTCACCACTGAAATTACTAAGATCAATAGATTTAAGATTCGGAAATCGATGAATGAGTTTAGATATGGTACCGTGGGTGAGCAGAGTCGAATCGATCACCGATAAACCGATGCGCAGACGATTAGTGAGAGCAAGGAACTGTTTGGACACCATAGAAAAGGACTCCAAGTCGGATTTGTGATGAAGACGACTGAAAATCAGTTCCCAGCATTCTACCGGCAAATCCTTGCACCGATTCGCCATTGATTTTAGCTAATTAGGGCTAAAGGTTTACATACAAATGAAACTGACTCGAATATCGAGAGAGAATTCGGAATTCAGTTACGAATTCTGTTCTGGCGAATTTTGGAATTCAGTGTACTTTACGAGTGAGTTTTGGATTGAGGCTACTTTTAACAAATTGTTGAAGTGGGTCTTTATCTTTCCGTTATTGATAGATCAAGCCAAGAACTTTTTGATTTTGTCCATTTCAAAATTTAAATTTGAGATCCGGGAAGAAATAGCTCCTTTCTGATCTTAAAGGGCCTGTTTTGAAATTGAATTTTATTTGGACACATAGGCTGTGTTTGGTATGAAGGAAAATGTTTTCCATGAAAAAGAATTCTTAGAAAATGTTTTTCTGGAAAACAAGTAGATTTTTGATTTATTTTCTCATTTTTTGTTGGTGAGTAGAAAATATTTTCAGAAAAGAAATTTTAGTGTTTGATTTATGAATGAAAAATATTTTTGAGAAAAAATATCTTTTATTTTTATCAGAGAGTAGAAAATAATTTTTGAATTGACATTGAAAATATGGTGGTGGTGGGGGTGGTAGGGGGCTGGAGGGAGGGGGGTGGGTCGGGGTAAGGGTGAGGGTGGAATAAAAAAATTGAAGTTGAAAAATATTTTTAAAAAATAAGCATTAAATTTATTTTTTCAATAAAAAAAGTGTAATTTGAAGTTGGAGGAAAGTTTTGGAAAACGTTTTCCTTAATTTTTAAAGGGAAGTCATTTTCCTTAAATTTGAGGAAAATGAAACATTTTACCCAACCAAAAATGAGAAAATTGAAAAACATTTTCATATCGAACACACCCGAAGTTTATATTTTTTCTCATAAATTTTAGGGATAATGGTCTGAAAAATACCCCAACTTTAGTCGGATTTGTTGTTGCGATACTAAACTTTCATAAGGACATATTACCTCCCTAGACTATTTAATACCGTATTTTTTACCCCTTGAATTATTTAATAGTGTATTTTAAAGGTATATATGTGCCCACGTGGACACATTTACTATTTATAATTTTGCATTATTTTTTATGTCCACGTGGGCAAATATATATGTTTTAAAAATACGGTATTAAATAGTCTAAGGAGGTAATAGATCCTCATGAAAGTTTAGTATCACAACAGCAAATCCGACCAAAGTTAGGATA